CTCGGGTCATGGAAAAACTTGACGGAAGGTGTTACTTCTATTTTCGGCCTCCCTGGACCTTCACCGGGCCTCGGGACCGTCAACAAACAGGTCAGGATGAAAAGCCCGTCGCGGAGAATTGGTCGAGACCTTTTTGAGAGTCGACGTAATGGGGTTCTGGGGTGGGAGGATCGCGCCAGATCGCTGATGCAAGGGCGATGCGGTGCGATGCGGAGCTTGGTTTTCTCCACGCCGACACTGATAATGCATCGCCGACGCATCGGCGATGTGGCGCACTTCTCCGACTCCATGTAGAAGGCCCCTCAGAGCGGAAGAGGCTCAGGGGGTGCTTTTGGAGGGATCTGGCTCTGAGGGGATGCTTCGGGCCCAGGGCTCGAGGTGTCGGCGGCTTCCCAGCCCCAGGGTGCGCTTCAGCAGCTGCGCGTCGCGGAGGGCGCTCCGGGGGGTGCGCGGGTCGTCCGGAACGGCAGCCCCCGGGCCGAGCCACGACCCGAGGCACGACCCGAAAGCCAGCGCGGACAGGGATGGGCTCAGGCGCTGGAAACACGAAACAGCGAGAATGCAACAAACATGGAGAAACAACCTTATGAAAATCAGCGACTTTGCCCTCTCGGGGCGCTCTCGGGCGGCATCTTAAAGGAGGCGTTGGCCCCCCAATCGCCCATGGATCGCCCGTCGGATCAGGGCCCGGGAGCCCGCCCTGCCCATCGGCACGGCGGCCCGCCGCTTTCCCAGGATCTCCCGCGGGAGGTGGACAGAACATCCACCCTGCGAACGTGGCGCCGCCGCTTTCCTCCAGGCCCCCCAGACGGGGTCAGAGCGGCACGGGGTCGGAGCATCGCGCCGCATCGCCGATGCGGAGCCCGATGTCCGTCACACGCCAGCGGCGCCGATGCATCTCCAACGTCGCCGATGCATCGGCGATGCATCGGCGATGCATCATCGCTGCGGCGCGATCCCCCGAGCATATCTACAGCCAGCCCGCGTAATGAGGATGGGCATCCATCCCAAGGGTGCCCTTGCATCCTTGCCTCCTCGGCCTATCCTTGGCTGCTTTCCCTGGCCGCGCCCCGCTCGAAAAGCGTCGACGTGGCCTTCTAAGACCCTTGCATCCTTACCGCGCATCCTTCTGATGCGGGCCGACTTTTCTGTCTCCATTCGGGAGGCCTGCATGTCCCAGACCTCCGTCGGGGCTTGATATGGAAGGCTCACCCTGCCAAGTCGACCAAGCGAATTGCCTATTTCCCCGGTTCTCGAGAGAGGGCGCCGCGGCCGGATTTGCCCGTTGGCATGCGCCCGGGAGAGTGTTTTGGTTACCCTTTGGGCCATAACGCGTGTTATGCCCCCGACCCTCCCCCCCTTTCCTCCCCCATAACGTAACGCTCCCCCCCTGAGTGCGTTCCCGGCACTGCCGCAGTGCGTCCGGCACCACAGTCTGGGGGGGGCGGCCCTACGTGATGCCCCCTCCCGTCCCGCCTCCTGCCCCCCATAACGCCCGTTACGGCCGCGAATCGAGCAGATCGCTCCTGGCTGTTGTTTTGCCGAAGGAGGTTTTGTCCACCCCCGACTCCGACGACGTGTTCTTTTCAGCCAGCTGTTTTTCTTCGATTGCTCGGCCATCGATCGGGTGCCCTCAGCGTGCTGCCCTAGGGCAGAAGGCAAACCCGGGGAGGAACTTTGGCCCTGGGAAGAGTCGAAATCTTTGGGGCCGTGGATTGAACAACATACATCGGCGGTTGTCCGTGTTTCTGGGGGATGTGCCTTGTGCCATCAGCGCCTGCAGAGGTTCTCGTCCGGGGTGCCCTCCAGCGCACGCGCTTCGCCACGGAAGCTCTTATGGAGCGCCTGGATCGTCCCGACCGGCCGCCAGAGGCCCGAGCCATGGCCCGGAAGCCATAGGGATTCATGGAGCTGTTCTCAATCGCGGTCGTCTTCCTGGGCCGCTCCTCCTCCTCCGCCTCCTCCTCCTCCTCCGCCTCCTCCTCCTCCTCCTCCTCCCTCCTCCTCCTCCTCCTCCTCCTCCCTCCTCCTCCTCCTCCTCCTCCTCCTCCCCCTCCTCCTCCTCCTCCTCCTCCTCCTCCTCCTCCTCCTCCTCCTCCTCCTCCTCCTCCTCCTCCCTCCTCCTCCTCCTCCTCCTCCTCCTCCCTCCTCCTCCTCCTCCTCCTCCTCCTCCTCCTCCTCCCCTCCCCCTCCTCCCCCTCCTCCTCCTCCTCCTCCTCCTCCTCCTCCTCCTCCCTCCTCCCTCCTCCCTCGGGGCGGCGGCGACAGCCTGCCTGCTCGAGACGAGCACGCCGCCGGATGCCTGGGAGGGCCGCCGGGAAGGAAGAGAGGAGGGTCCTGCAGGGCGAGGGGCCCTGCAGGTGCTCCTCCGCTGCCGCTGCGCCGCGCGCGGGGGGTGCCCCGCGGGCCGTGCGGAGCCTGCCCGAGGGGGGACGGGCCGCTCCTGGGGAGAGCCCGCAGGGGGCTCCCGGACCCGCCTCCCCCCGGGCCCCCCCCCCAGACCCCCTCGAGCAATGAAAACATCACGACGGGAGGCTTTTCCTAATTTTCGGCCTCCAGGGGCCCTCGCCGGGCCTCGGGAGCGTCACAAAACGACTCAGGATGCAAAGCCGGTCATAGTGAAAGGGTCGGGATTTCTGGGGCCCGACGTAACGAAAAAAACATCACGTCGGGGGTCCGGGCCCCGTGCCGCTCGGAAGGCGCCGCCGCCGGGCCGCCCCCTCGTGGAGGGCTACTCGGACTCTGACTCGGAGCCGCACGCGAGCGCCGACGAGCTCGCCAGCTCCTCGGAGCAGGACCGGGCATCGCCAGGACCCGGCAAGGGGGCCCGGTCGGTCGTGGGGCCCGGGAGCCCCTCAGCTGGCCAGAATCACTATACCGCTGGTGCTTTTTTCAAGCAGTGGCGAAGCGTCCTGGCTCTCCTAGAGCCCTACCAAACAATATGTTCTAAGAACCTTTTGTGGTCCCCACGAAATGTTCTTAGAACATTTCTGGCGGAGACCGTCTTGGTTTAACATATCGGTTTAATGTTCTAAGAACATTGTTTTTGTTCTTAGAACATTCTTGGGTTCTAACAACACTTCGTGGTAGGACTACAGGAATGCCGGGACGGTCGGTCCCTGCTCAATTTTTCGGGTGACGGCAGTTCCGGTTCGTGGAACGGGGCCTGGGGGGCGCCCCCCAGTGCACATCACTAAACCCGGGCCCCCGACGTCGTGATTTTTTCACAGCGGCGACCCCCAGAGGTCTGGACCCCTTCCCCCGGACCGGTTCTGCGTCCTGGATCGTTTTTTGACGCTCCCGAGGCCCGGTGAGGGCCCCCGGAGGCCGAAAATAGGGAAAAACCTCCCGTCGGGATTTTTTCGCGACGCCAGGAGGTCTGGGAACCCGGGCCCCCTATAGACGACCCGGTTCTGCCAGCGCCCGGCAGTTCCGGTTCGTGGAACGGGGCCTGGGGGGCGCCCCTCCTTCTCCTCCTCCTCCTCCTTTCCCTCTCCTCCTCCTCCTTTCCCTCTCCTCCTCCTCCTCCTCGTCCTCCTCCTCCTCCTCCTCCTCCTCCTCCTCCTCCTCCTCCTCCTCCTCCTCCTCCTCCTCCTCCTCCTCCCCCTCCGCCTCCTCCTCCTCCTCATCCTCCTCCTCCTCCTCCTCCTCCTCCTCCTCCTCCTCCTCCTCCTCCTCCCTCCTCTCTCCTCCGGCAGGACCCGGAGCCCAGCGGCGCGGCGGCCGCCGCGGCCGCGGCGGCCGGGGCGCCGCCGCGGCCCCCCGAGGGGGCGCCGCGGGCCCTGGAGCTGCTGCTGCCCCGGGAGTGGCGCGCGGACCGCGGGCTCCAGGAGTCCATGGAGGCAGGGGAGGTAAAACGACGCGAAGATCGGGACAAAACCGGATCGGGATAACTCGAAGTCTCTGAGAATATCGGCGGGTTTGGAGGATGTACTGGGCGCCGCGGCCGCTCCAGAGCGTTCCGGACCGCTCTGAGAGCGCTCCGGAACGCTCTGGAGCGATTCATCCCGATCCTGGAACGCTCTGAGAGCGCTCCGGAACGCTCTGGAACGCTCTGGAGCGGAACGCTCGGGAGTCCATGGAGGCAGGGGAGGGGTATGTCGGGGGGGGACAGAACCCCAACAGTGCCACGTCGATCAGTGAATTGTCCGTTTTGGGCTCTCGAGATGGCGCCGTGGCCGTTATTTTCCAGGCTTGCGCCCGCCAGGTTTGGGCCTCCGGTCGTTTTCACGAAACCACGTTTTACTAAAGGGGGGTCTGTCCATTCCCGAGTATGGTATCAAGGGGCGTGGTGCCAATTCTAAGTCGGGCGGAAAGGGAAGGGGTGTGGTATCAAGGGGCGTAGTTTACCAGCCTCGAACGTATCCCTATCCCTAAGATTGACACGCCAAAAGGCGATGACAATCTTAGGGATCCGCCCTCAAAAAGTAAGGGGATCCCTAAGATTGGCATCGTGATGAGGGGATGCCCAGCATAGGGATAGGGATATGTTCCAGGCTGGTAAGTAGTGCCAATTCTAAGTCGGGCTCGTCCCTCTACAGGAGGAACATTCAGCAATAGTCAAGCAGAAATATAGTCTGGGGACGATTGCTTGCCTATGCTTGAGCATGTCTGGAGCACTTTGGGGGAACTCTTGATTTTTCGTCCACGCTCCGCCTGTATGAGGGACATGCCCGACCGAATGTTGATTTCCTGCAGAGGGGACTCTGGCGATGTTCTTCATCGCAGATGGCACCGCCAGCTCCACGAGCGGCACCACACCAGGGCTCTTTTCGATTCCTCCGATTCGATTCGATTCGACTTCGGATTCCGATTTGGGCTCCGATTCCTTGTTGGACGCACGTTAGCCTGCCGATTTCCGCGTATTCGACTTTTCCCGACTCGGCTGCCGGTTTCCGCCGATCCGATTCATTTCGACCGCCGATCCGACTTATCGATTCGATTCTTGGCACTCCTGCCACACCCCGTTTCATGCCACACCCCGATCCGACCTCCGGAAGGAGGCCTGGCAGAAGGGCCGCGGCATCTCGCTCGCGGGGGGCGTGGCCTGGGGCACCGCGGGCTCGGAGGTGGCGGCCGTGGCCTCGAGGAGCGAGGACTCGAGGAGGGAAAGGTACCCCTGCCGCTGCCCTGAAGTCGGGCGTGTCCCTCTACAGGGATGATATTCCAAAATACAAAAAAAAAAAAGATAGCCTGGGGACGATGTTTCTATTATTTCTGAATATCGTTGGGCATCTTCGCCCAGCCTCCGCCTGTAGGGGGACATGCCCGACCTAACGCTACCCTCCTCATTTTCCCCCTTTTGGGGCCTCCTGGGAGGCCCCCGTCGCCACTGCTGGAATCGCCTGGAAATTCTGGCCAGCGTGCACCCCCGGAGAGGTCCGGGGAGTAGCGGAGGAGCGTCGAAGGAGAAAAATCGCCATATACATAAACTCTTGGCGCTCCGCGCGGATTTCTTGGATCAGCGCTGGGCCCCCCTGGCGACGCCTCCGGCGCTGCCCTGGCGGGGTCCAGCGCAGATCCAAGAACTCTGCGCGGAGCGCCAAACTTTTACGCTAATGCCGTTTTTCCTTCCTCTAGCACGAGGAGGCGCCGCGCGTGGTGGACCTCGCCACTTGCAGCTGCAGCTGCCCCAAGAGGTGGCCGCTGTGCTCGCACGTCTACGCGGCGGTGCACGCCGCGGACTGCCAGCGGCTGCGCGGGCGGGTGGCGCTGCTCTGCCTGCTGCGGGAGCGCTCGCGCGGGCGGCCGCCGTGCGGGCGCGACGGCGGGGGCCGGCGGCGGCAGAGGGAGCTCGCGGGCGAGGTGGCCCAGCAGGCGCTGGCGGAGCTGGGCCAGTCCGGGGCGCCCGAGGCCGCCGTGGCCTGCTGGGCGCTCGACGCGTTCACCCGCTTCCGGCGGCGCGCCGGCGGCCTCAGCGGCGCCCCTCGGGTGCCCAAGGACGCCCCGGGGGCGGGGAGCGGCGCGCCGGCGCAGCGCCGCTGGCTCGAGCTCTGGGGGCCGCTGCCGGGCACGGGGCGCCTCGGGGGCACGGCCTTCCCGCCGGACGGCGGCGCCGCCGCGGGCGCGGCGCTGAGCACGGCCAAGGAGCTCCGCCGGGGGCGCGGCGCGCGGCGCGCGGGCGAGGAGGGCGCGGCGGCGCGGGCGAGCCTCGCGGAGCTCGTCGCCGACGCCGTCGGCGCGGCCAGGCTCGAGGCGTCGGGGTGCCTGGGGGCCATCACGGGCGAGCTGCTCGAGGAGGCTGCGGGCAACCTGGGCCCCGCGCTGGCGCTCCCGAGGCTGGCGCGGCTGGCGGCGGAGGCGCTGGCGCTGCTGCTCTGGTCCCTCGACGGCGGGCCCGGCGGCGAGTGCCCGCCGTGCGCACCGCGGCCGGAGGCGGGGGGGCAAAGGTCTGCGGGCGTGCTGGCTTCGCGCCTCGGGCGCCGCAGCTTTTCATCGGGGGCCCCCAAACGGGGCGGTGACCACACCGTGCGGTGGGTCGGTGGGGATTCGGGGTCGCCGCGCGGCTTTGGGACTCGGGTCGTTCTCAGAGGACGTCTCGGGCGACTGGGGCCTCCGAGGTCCCAAGACTGTGCGGTGACGCACCGTGCGGTGAGGTCTTGGGGGATTTCGAGGTCACCGCACGGTCCGTCACCGCACCGTTTCGGGACTCCAAATTTCAGGCGCGGCAGCACGGCAAGTGTCGGGGGGCAGGTTGCGTTTCGGAGGGCCCAGCCTGCAGTCAAAAACCCGAATGAGGACGCGCGACTGTGCTCAGGGTACCCTTGCGTCATTGCTCTTCCTTGCTCTTGCGTCCTTGAGGTTTTCGTCGTCCGCCGCCCCAAAAATCCCAACTTCGGCTTCCAAGGGTCTTGCGTCCTTACCGCGCGTCCTGATTAGGATGTTTGATTGTACCTGCTTCTGCAAGACCTATCTCGGGCCCAGGCCAGATGCCGTTCTCACGTTCTAGCCACGAGCGTCCATGAGCATATCGGGTGCCGCTACGTCTACGGACGCATTCGGCGTGGATACGTCTATAGACGACGCTTCCGTTGCATTGGGCGCATTACAAGGCCGGAGAAGGGTAGATCCGTCTATGGCACACTCCTGTTCTAGAGCAGGTCCCACATGGTACTCGAAGGTGCTTCCAATCAGCGGTTGACTGGTTCAGCTTATCTTGTGCCGTTTCAGGGACCTTCCTGGGGCCCTCCTGACGGATTTGTCTGACTGTAGTTCGAATATGTTCCGATTCGAGTTCGAGAAGGAAGTTTGATACCAGATCGGCTCAATTCAATTGACGTTCGACGCAGCATCGACGCATGAGTGGAGCGAGTGGCTGCAGGGAGGTCCTCAGAACGAGCATCTAACGTGATCTCGCTGCTGCTGGGAGGAGTTTGGGAGACCCACAAGGGGGTCCAGCTGAAGGGGTGGTGCAATAGATTTGGGGCAATTGTATTGCAAATGTGTTTCGCAGGAGAATTGTATTGCATTGTGTTGCAAGTAATGCATTGCACGCGAGAAGCCAGCAATACATTCGCGCCCCGGAATGTGTTGCACGTCCCACATGTATTGCAACCCCACAAATCTATGGCACCAAATCTATCGCACCACCCCCTCGTCGCTGGACCCCCTTTTGGGTCAACCCGAGGGAGATCGCACCTCGCCCTCTTGGGCACCGCACCGCTGCTCCGAGGCCCGAACGGCACGCCGGCCTCGGGCGCACGCCCCTCGCTGCAGAGCAAGGCGCGGGCAGACCTCTCTCGAGAGGACCGCCCCACCGCTCGCCCCCTCCGCTCCGGCCCCGCCGCCGCCGTCGGTGGCGCTCTCCTCCCCCTCCGCCCCTCCGCTCTCTTCCTGCTGCTCTTCAACCCTCCTCCTCCTCCTCATCGTCCTCATCCTCTTCCTCCTCCTCCTCCTACTCTTCCTCCTCCTCCTCCTCCTCTTCCTCCTCCTCATCCTCTTCCTCCTCCTCCTACTCTTCTTCCTCCTCCTCCCCCTCCCCATCCCTCTCTCTCTCTGCCTCTGTCCTCGCCCGCTCCCCATCCCTCCTCCCCGTGTGCTCCGCGCGCGGGGGGTGCAGCGCGCAGGGGCGGCGCAGTGCGCGCAGCCGCCCGGCCCCGTCCGCCCTGGAGCGCGCGCGCCCTGCGGGTGCCCGCGGGGCGACCGCGGGCGGGGGCGGTCCGGGCGAACTTCGGGGGCGGAAAAGAGGGGGGTGACGACTGGGGGTGTGTGGGTACCATGGCGTGGGCCATGAGGTCTCCCCAGATTTCATGGCGCCGCTCCCCGGCCCCCCCGCTGGGCCGCGCGCCTGCCGCCGGTCATGACTTGCACCCCCCCCCCTCTTGAAGACACCCCCCTCTTGCCCGCTCCCGAGAACTCTCGGCGGGCCCGCCCCGGCTCGCGAGGCGCCCGCGGGGCGCCCGCGGGGCGCCCACGAGGCGGGCAGCGGCCGAGCCTCGGCTGCGGACCCCTTCGCTGCCAGCTCCTTTCTCGAGAGCTGCGCAGGCGAGAGCCCCTGATTTGTTGAGTCGGGCCTGTCCCTCTGCAGGAGGAACCTGCAAAAGGAGTCCAAACGTAGTCCTGGGACGATTGTTCGGTTCTTTCTTCTGCGCTGGGTTCGATTCTTGTTCGCTATTTTTCATTCGCCCAAGATCTGCCTGTAGTGGGACATGCCCGACCTAACCCCACTCGGGCGCAGGGGCTTCTTGGGGGCAAGCCTCTCCCCCTGCCCACGATCGCAGACGGGACGCCGCCCCCTCCGTGCGCGCCGTCTTCCCGTGCTCGCCCGGCGGCAGCCAGCAGGTACGGCGTCGCCAAGGAGGCCACCGTCTACGGCGTCAGGGTGCCCACGGGAGAGAAGCTTGTCGATCTTGTGCTTGCCGCGCCCGTTCATTCACCCCGCATCTGGCACCGTTCTCCTGGGCCCCTTCTTTGCATTCAAAGCAGTTGCGGCGCGGGCGACGGCATTGTGGCCGTGTTTCTGTCGAGGTGAGTTTGCCACTTTCAAGGCCCAGTCGTTCCCGTCAGCCCACGTGGTGGTTTGCCTCTCGCATGCGTGAATTGATGGTTGATGGGTGGACATTTGCCCTGATGGGTTTGTCGATGAACCGTTGAGAGGATGGATTGACATGCATGAGAGCAGCTGCTTGCCAGTTACGTGTCTCTGTTTGTTCGTTCATTCAGTATTGTCTCCGAGGACGCTTCCGCCAAGCTGCTGAAGTGTATTCCACCCATGCTTGTGTGGACATCGTCGTGGGGCCATCTCGTGTGCCCTTGTTTTGCAGCATCGGAAACCGGGGTGTCCACCCGGTAGGCTGCGGGGGACGCTGACACCGTCACGGAAATCCTTTGGGGTCGTCTTGGCGGCCTCGGTGGCCATCCTCGGGGCGTCTTGGATCCATTGGGCACTCTGGGCAGTCCTGGGCAACTCACTGACCGTTTTCTCAGCCTCTTGGGCCCGTGTTGGAGCGTCTTGTGAACCTCTTTCGACTAGTCGTAAGAGTGACCTTTCGCCGGAGTGACCTGTGGTGCGGGCACAGATGGGTCCCTAGATGGCTGAAAACGAAGCAGTAGCAGCTGCTTGTGCGCTCAGGTTTGGTCCCCCCGTGGCCCCAAAAAATTCGCGCACCAAAGGTCACTCTTACCCAGGGTCACTCTTGCGTGTAGCCGACTCTTTGCGTTTTTGTGTGTTCCATCTTGGCAGCACTTTGGCCCAATGTAGGGCCATGTTTGCCGAATGGCGTCTCTTGACCAGGTTCTCACAGTCGGCTGCGATCAAGCGAGAAGGGGCGGGCCTTCTCAGAAGGCTCGGAAGTCCCCCGGCCTTCTGGGAAGTTTTAAGAGCCTTCCCCGAAGACACCGAGAACTTCTCAGAAGGCGCGAGGGCTTCTGGGAAGTCCCGCCGCTTTCTGATAAGGCCTTCTCCTTCTCATTTGCCCCCCTCGCTCGCCGCCAACACAGGTGGCAGATCGTCCCCCCGAATCTCTCCTTGGGGGGGGGGGGGTCCACCTCTTCCCGTCGCCAGATCTGGCGTGGTCCTGGCGCGGTGCACTCCGTGGGGGCACGCTCGGGGATGCTGCCCCTCCCCAGCCTTCTGCCAGCCTTTTTGCCCCTGCACCTTCTCTCCTCTGACCTTTGCCTTGCCCCGCCACTGCGATACGAACGTTTGCCTGGGTTGGATTGGACTGTGTTGCCTCGGGGTACTCATGCCGCCCTCGTTGGCCATTTGGGAGCCATCGTGGCTCTAGCAACCCACCCGTGCTCGTGCGTATGTGAATTGGTCAAGCGGTGCTTCCGCCGCGGCAGGTCATGGACGCGGATGGCCACATATCGATGAATTGGGTCTGCCAGTCGGTCGATTGGATCGTGGAGAAAGCCAAAAGGACGGAAGGGGGGGCAGTGCAAAAGCCGCAATCACTTCACTAAGAGAACCTAAGAGGTCGTCAGGAGACTTCCTAGGAAACCGATAGGGTCTCCAGGAGATTGTCCAGGGAAACCTTGCAGGACCCCAGGATACCTTTCAGGGAAGACGAGCGGGTCCCCAGGAGACCGTCCAGGTTTGTGGCTTAGTGGCGTTGCTTAGTCACGTCGCTCATTCCGCCAGCCCATGCTGCATCACAGTTGCTATCTGTTGGTGTGCTCGTCGCTAGCGAGGAGGAGGATAATTAGGAGGAGGAAAGGGGGAGGAGACTTTCTTTGGGTCCGGCGATAACCTGGGTTATCGGGCTCGCCCCTGCCCCCCCCCTCCCAAGGATAACTTATTCTAGCCGGTTGTGCAGGTCCGGGGCGGCGCGCAGAGAACTCGCAGGGAGCGTTGTGTTCAACGGTGCGGTGATGTTCGCCACAGCATGCTGGTGTTTGGATGCACGTTGGCGAATCGTAGGGGTTTGGAGTGACACGGGGAGACGACGACAGACGACGACGACAGACGACGACGACGACGACCGACGTCGTCCATAGGCTTCTGGAGGTGCACGTGAGCAGCGCGTACACAGGCATTGCGTTGTGCACAGGCAGCGAGGCGATTTGGTGCGCGCATTCGCTGTTGGTTCAGCAGGATCTGTTGTGTACGTATTCGTTGTGATGCACGTAAGCATGAGTGCACGCAGGTCGCGCGGTGCACGCTCGCATCGTGATGCACCAGGCAATCTGGTCAAGCCAGGCCTTGTTGTGTGCACAACTGCTCCTGCAGCATCAGTTATGATTCGCATGGTGGTGTACAGACACACTGTGGTGCACGATCATTTTGGTGTACCACGCTTTTTGGTGTACACGGGCGCTGCGGTGTACACACCTGCCGCTGTGGGCCCAAAAGACGGGACCGTTCCCTGCGCAAGAAAAATCAATAATCACAAGTCGCTTACATATTGGATTGGATACGTTCGGATCCCCGGCGACTTTTTGGAGTTCGGTCCCGCCGGAGACCTTGGATGTGTACGCAGATTTGTGGTGTACATAAGCATTTTGGTGCACGAGTATGGTATTGAAGCAGAAACGTGGTGCACATCGGCGTCGTCGTGTGCACAGGCAGTGTGTGTGTGTGTGTGCGTGTCATGTACACAGGCGCTGCGGTGCACACGGCTGCTGTAGTGTACACAGGCATTGTGGTGTACACAGCCATTGTTGTGTAGACAGGCGCGGCGGTGTACACAATCAGCTGTGGTGTACAAAGGCGTCGTGGCGCACGCTAGACAGGCGCTGTGGTGTACACAAACATGGTCGGCTCAAAACAGGGGGACCGCACCCCCATCCCAGAAAAATCAATAATCACAACTATCCCGGCGAAGGACCCAACCATATGAAGTTGTGGGTACCGCAATTGTGAAGATCTTCTTCGGTGAAGCTCAGTACGGGGCCACGGCGCGCAGCGCTGGGCGGGGGGGAGCGCATGCGGGCGGTAGCACTGGGGCCGTCGGTGACGCTCCCTATGGGGCCACGAAGCGCTACACTGGGTGAGTGAAAATACCAAATGAGGCGTGTGGGACGCACGCGGGCGGTCCCATTGGGGGCTTCGGTGGAGCTCCCCATGGGGCCGCGAAGCGTTGTAAAGGGCGGGTGAAAATGCCAAATTTGGTGTGGGGGGCGCATGCGGGCGGCCCCACTGGGGGCTTCGGTGGGGCTCCCGATTGGGCCACGAAGCGCTGTATTGGGCGGGTGAAAATGCCAAATTGGGCGTGGGGGGCGCATGCGGGCGGTCCCACTGGGGGTTTCGGTGGAGCTCCCTGTGGGGGACGCAGGCGGGCGGTCACACTGGGGGCTTCGGTGGAGCTCCCTATGGGGCCACGAAACGCTGTATTGGACGGGTGAAATTGCCAAATTGGGCATGGTGGACGCACGCGGGCGGTCCCATTGGGGGCTTCGGTGGAGCTCCCTATGGGGCCACGAACCGCTGCACTGTGTGGGTGACAGTGCCAAATTGGGCGTGGGGGGCGCATGCGGACGGTCCCAGTGGGGGTTTCGGTGGAGCTAGCTCCCTATGGGGCCACGAAGCGATGTATTGGGTGGGTGACAATGCCAAGTTGGGTGTGGGGGACGCACGCGGGCGGTCCCACTGGGCGCTTCGGTGGAGCTCCCTCTTGGGCCACGATGTATTGGTTTGGTGAAAATGCCAAATTGGATGTGGGGGACGCGCGCGGGCGGTCCCATTGGCGGCTCCTGTGGAGCTCCCTATGGGGCCACGAAGCGCTGTATTGGGTGGGTGGAAATGCCAAATTGGGCGTGGGGGGCGCACGCGGGCGGTCCCATTGGGGGCTTCGGTGGAGCTCCCTATGGGGCCACGAAGCGCTGTATTGGGTGGGTGGAAGTGCAAAATTAGGTGTGGGGGGACGCATGTGGGCGGTACCACTGGGGGCTTCGGTGGAGTTCCCTATGGGGCCACGAAGCGATGTATTGGGTGGGTGACAATGCCAAACTGGGCGTGGGGGGCGCACGCGGGCGGTCCCAATGGGGGTTTCGGTTGAGCTCCCTACGGGGCCACGAAGCGCTGTACTGGGTGGGCGAAAATGCCAAATTGGGTGTGGGGGACGCACGCGGGCGGTCCCAGTGGTGGCTTCGGTGGAGTTCCCTATGGGGCCACGAAGCGATGTATTGGGTGGGTGACAGTGCCAAACTGGGCGTGGGGGGCGCATGCGGGCGGTCCCAATGGGGGTTTCGGTTGAGCTCCCTATGGGGCCACGAAGCGCTGTACTGGGTGGGTGAAAATGCCAAATTGGGTGTGGGGGACGCACGCGGGCGGTCCCAGTGGTGGCTTCGGTGGAGCTCCCTATGGGCCACGAAACGCTGTGCTGGGTGGGTGAAACGCATGGAAGAAGGAGGAGGGAGGGGAGGAGGAGGGGGAACAGGAGGAGAGGAGAGGAACGCGGGGCACCGTCTCTTCAAAACGAGAACCCAACACCACAGGACGGTTGGGAAATATCCTACATGATGAATTTGGTGCGTTCGGGCCAGGCCCCTGGGGAATTTCCTTATTTGGGCCCGGGCGGGACCTTGGAGGTGCACGGAAGCGCTGTGGCGCAAATGTTCGCCATGCGCTGTGGTGCACGCGGCTCCGGTGGTGTGAACAAGCACCGCAGTGTACACAGGCGCTGTGGTGCACACGACTTCTGTCGTGCACACAGACATCATGGTGTACACAGGCACTGTTGTCTAGACAGGTGCTGCGGTGTACACGAGCAGCTGTGTTGTAAAAAGACGTCGTGGTGTACACTGGACAGGCACCATGATGTGCACAAACATGGTCGGCCCAAAATGGAGTGGGACCGTACCCTGGGCCAGGAAAATCAATAATCACAAGTAACTTACATATTGAAATTGATACGTTCGGGCCCTCGGGGAGTTTCCAGATCTGGGCACCAGCGGGACCCTGGAGGTGCGCGGAATCGCTGTGGCGCAAATGTTAGCCCTGCGTTTTGGTGCACGCTGCTCCTGCGGCGTGCACAGGCATCGGGGTGTACACAGGCGCTGTGGTGCACGCAGCAGCCTCTGCTGCATCAGCACCTGTGGTGTGCAAGTCCGCTGTGGCGCACGCATACTTTGTAGTGCTCATAGGCAGTGTGGTGCACGCGAGTTCTATAGATAGTGTACACAAGACTTCGCGGCTACGCTGAGCAACAACATCCCGCGCATTCCAATGCGAGCTGTCCAGACATCCGTAGGCATTCTCAGACGGCGTCCGCATCGTCGCAGCACCAATAGAAGCATCGCGGCAGCATCGTTAGCAGCAGCAGGGGCCGCAGCACTGGTGCGCACGGGCATATCGGGCTGCCCACAGCGCGAAGGTTAGGTTATCGGCTGGCCCCCCCTCCCCCCCCCCCCCGCGGATAACCCGGGTTATCGCCGATTCAGAAAAACGCTCTCAAGGAGGATGAGGACGACAACGACGACGACGAGGTGGTGGAGGGGGCATTTGGATTGCTTCCTCGTGCACTCCTGGGGTCAGACGGGGTCGTGGACAAGACACCTTTTCAAGATGCATGTTGGGAACCTGCTGGCGGTCTCAGCGGCCATGTTTCGGGGAGGGATTGGTATGTCAGTTGGGATTCACCCTCATGGGGCGCGTTTGGGGGCCTTTGGAGCCCTCATGGGAGATCTCTTGGCCCGTCTTGGGGCCCCCTTGGGTCCTCTCCTGTGGCCGTCCACGGAGCGTCCTGGGCCGACCTGGGGCGATCTTGGGGGTCTCTTGGAGGCCTACTGCGTCAGTTCGGGGCCGTCTTGAGGCCATCTTGAAAGCCTTTGGGCCGTCTCGAGCTTGCCGGCGCCCGACAAGGCAAAAACTTGAGAATCGTTGAAAATCAAAAGAAAGTCACATTGTTCTCCCTCTTGGGGTCTTCGCAGGTGTTTTCTTGGAGTGCTTGGGGTCTCCTGGGCTGCTTGAGGTTGTAGTGGGCTGCCTTTGAGCGGTCGTGGGCGGTCTTGGGACCCTCTAAGCTTTCCTGAGGTCATCTTCGTCCGTCTCCGAGCGCAATTGGACCGTCTTTGCATCCTCGATGGCCAGTGCTTGGAGCGCCCTGCTGACTTGGAGCGCCCGTGTGAGTCCTGCAGGCCACGCCCACAAGAACATGCATCTTTAGTCCAGGATCGGCCAGGGCACTGTTCGTAAAGGAACCCCCCTTTGGGGGCTGCCCCGCGCCCGCGAGTTGCAAATACGCTGGAGCTCGTACTGGGAATGTTGGGCTCTCTTGCGACTGGTGCAGGGCGGATGGGCCATAGGCGTGAGTGTGCAGAAGGAGAGCGACGGAGCTTGAGGGTGGAACAGTTCGTGGGCGGATGAGAGGAGGAGGACGAGGAAGTGCAGGGTGGACGGCAGCATCATCTCGGACTCTGATGCCACCAGCGACAGCGACGCGGCAACAAGTGAACCACGCAAACAAACGGGGTCGTTTGCGCCGACATTGGCGCGTAAGCTGCCAACGGAAGGTCGCGCGTAAGCGCCCTCGCCTCCAGTGCAGCGCGTCGCGCGGGCGGCCCGCGTGAGCCACCGCGTAATGTCGCCAGGCCATCTCGCGTCAGACCCGTTTTCGATCGTCGTTTTATGATGTTCCAACTCGCTTCGTCAGTCTTGCTCACCAGAAATAATCTCGAGCACCACGAACAGTACCGAAGCTTGAGGGCTTCCACGCGCCGGGCCCTGGGCGGCGATACTCGTTCGACACCGTTTCGATATTTTTCTGGATACTCGTAATGATTTTGGGGATGGGGTCCTGAAGAGCGATGGGAGCAACATACCCAGACATGCGACGTACTGACTTTTTCAGGACTGCGTCCCTGGAAGTCCCGACCCTTTCCCTGGGACGGGTTCTTCGTCCCGAGCCGTTTTCCGACGGTCCCGAGGCCCAGCGAGGGCCCCCCGGGGCCACAAACAGCCAAAAACCTCCCGTCCAGAACTTTTATGTCACGACGCGATCACGTTTGGGGTTGCCGCCCTCCTCTCGCGGTGCCCCTGTACTTTCCAGAACTTTTATGTCACGACGCGATCACGTTTGGGGTTGCCGCCCTCCTCTCGCGGTGCCCCTGTACTTTAGCACGATGTTGTATGCGGCGCGTCAGTTGTGAGAGGAATGCTTGGCTAGAGGACTGGCACCATCGTGTACATGAGACCTTCGGCTTCCGCCGAGAGTCAGGGGAGCCCTTCACCCCCAGGGCGCGTTTAAAGGGGCCTCAGCGGCTGCGTCTTCATCGTGGGTCAAGAAGAGAAAACAAAAAAACAAACGAAACACAACAATATATATACACATGTATAAAGAATAATAAGAGTAACAATAATAATAATGATGTTGTTTCTTTAGACAATGAAAAATAATAAACAAAAACAAAAAAACGCGATCGCGTTTGGGGCTTCCGATCGCCGTTCCCGTGGCGGGGGCAGGGCGCGCCCGCGGCGGCCCCCGCGGCGTCGCCGCCCCGGGGGCCGCGGGGAGGCACCCGCCGGCGGTGCCCCCGTGGCGGCCCCGAGCGCGCGGGTCCCGCGGGGGGCGTGCGCGCGGGCCCGCGCCAGGGAGCACCCTGC